ACCCCCAGGAACTACAGCAGCCCCCCACCCGGAGAGACGCGGGCAGGAGACACGGGGGGCGGGAAGCGGGAGGGCCGCTGGGCGGGGCAGGCCAGTGGGCGGGGCTGGGGGACGGGGAGGGAAAAGGGGTCCCAAGAATGGGAGGCAGGAGCCGCGGCCGCTGCAGGGAGATGCAAGAGTTTGGCCTGGGAGGACACGGTGCATCGCGGGCCAGACCTGCCCCTTACGGCCCGCCCCCTACGATCCCAGTGTGGGGCCTGGTTTCCATCACGCTCAGGCTTTGGCCTCCCCTCCCTCCTCTCCCGCCCGGGGGGCTACCCAGGGCCACCCAGGACTTAGGAGGAGCTCTAGGAAGAGTGGGAGAGGCCAGCCGTGGGCCCTAGGCCGGTAAAGGAGGCCCTGGATTTTGCTTGCGTAGACTTATGCAGGGAGGACCAGGTACAGGGGCAGCTCCCTGTGGGCCGAGAGTCCTGGGCTGGAGACCCCAGGGACTGAGCCACAAGCTCTAACAGTGGGTCCTGCAGGGTGAGACTTGGTTTCCACTCACCGGGAAAAGCTCAGTTCTGAAGAAATGTATCAGAAACCAGTGGGACATTTAACGGGTTGTTGGGTCTCTCAACACACGGCTCCCCAGAACATTTCCCAATGCCCACCATATACCTGGCATGGTGCTGGGGGCATAGACTTTGACCCACAGACAAAGAGGGAGAGCTAGAGTTAGAACCACCTAGAATAGTGTTTTCACACTTAAATTGTGACTTACAGTAAGAAATACGTGTTACTATGCACACATTCCCCCCACCTTTCTCCACGCCTTCCTGCATCTGGTTTATAGACCCCCTTCAGGCCATTTAGATTTCACTGGACACAGGCCTCAGAGACTTCCTACTCCCTCCCCAGGCTTGCCTTCCTGTCTTCCTCCACCCACATCCACCCCCATCCCAGCCTCCCCCACTGTGTTTCCTCCTGCTCCAGCTTGTGGGCATGGACTGCTTCCAAGGCCTCCCAGAGAGCAGGCCAGTGGGCAGCAGATGGGTGGCTGGGGCTTTACTCTAGGGAGCAGGGGCATACTCATTTGTCCCCCTCTCCTCTGGGAAGAAAGTGGGTGGGCAATGCCGGTTCGCTGAACCTGTGCCAACCTCCTGCCTTCTACCTTCCAGATTCTTGCTGCCACCATCGAGAAGTCCAAGGTTGTCCTGCAGATTGACAACGCCCGTCTGGCTGCAGATGACTTCCGAACCAAGTGAGTGTCTTTGCCCTGGAGCTGTAGAAGCCAGGGTGGGTGGGTGGCTGGGGGGGATATCCCAGGCCTTTGTGGGGCTCAATGCAGTGGGAGGACCAGACTCTGCCTTCGCCTACCCCAGCTGGCTTGAAGCAATCCATCCATGGACTTCTGAACTCTGGGTAGATGGGGAAGTCTTCAGAGGTGCAGAGGAAACTCTGGCCTGACTGCCACTATTTCCTCTAAAAGGTTTGAGACGGAGCAGGCCCTGCGTCTGAGTGTGGAGGCTGACATCAACGGGCTGCGCAGGGTGCTGGACGAGCTGACCCTGGCCAGGACTGACCTGGAGATGCAGATTGAAGGCCTGAAGGAGGAGCTGGCCTACCTGAAGAAGAACCATGAGGAGGTGGGTTTCAAGCTGGGCCTTCCGTCCATCACACTCCGGCTTCCCAGGCCTGAGGACACTCTTTTGTCCTGTAACTTCTGACCCTGGCCATGTTTGTTGCACCCTCAGCATGGCCCTGGGCGTGGATCATGATTCCTAGTGTTCCAGTAGGGGACAGTGGCAACCCAGTCTACTCTCCAATGCTGGCTCCTAGGTCTACACCTGAAAACCAACCCCCTTTGGCCTGGGGGGTGGGACAAGGAACTTGGCCCAGGCCCACCAGGCTCTGGGCTTTGACATGTCCATCTCTTCTATGTCTTTTTAGGAAGTCGGTGCCCTGAGGGGCCAGGTAGGTGGCCAGGTCAATGTGCAGGTGGATTCTACTCCAGGCATCGACTTAGCCAAGATCCTGAATGACATGAGAAGCCAATATGAAGCCATGGCTGAGCAAAACAGGAAGGATGCCGAAAACTGGTTCATCAGCCAGGTAAGAAGGGGGAAGCAGGCACCCTTTGGGGAGGTGGCAAGGAGAGAGGGCTTGCTGCTCCCTATCCAAAGGTCTGCCTCGGTGCTTATTCCCTCCTCTTCTTCTCTTGTTGCAGACTGATGTCCTGAAAAAGGAGGTCGACAGCAACGAGGAGCAGCTCCGTGTAAGCCATTCTGAGGTCACTGATCTGCGACATACCCTCCAGAGTCTTGAGATTGAGCTGCAGTCGCAGCTCAGCATGGTATGTGTCCCCCACCCTGTGAGATGCACATTTGTGCCCTGGCAACCTTGGGCAGCCTGGCCGGTGGCTGTGCCCATGCCCTCTATGGGAACCAGGCTCTCTAGAGTCACCTCCTCTCTCCCTATCATCAGAAAGCCGTCCTGGAAGGCACGCTGGCAGACACGGAGGCCCGCTATAGAGCCAAGCTGGCAGAGATCCAGGCACTGATCACTGGTATTGAAGCTCAGCTGAGTGATGTGCGTGCTGACAGCGAGCGCCAGAACCAGGAGTACCAGCTGCTCATGGACGTCAAGTCGCGGCTGGAGCAGGAGATCGCCACCTACCGCAGCCTGCTTGAGGGCCAGGATGCCCACTACAACACCCTGCCCACCTCCAAGGTCCTTTGAGTTGGCAGGCTCCTGGGCTCCTGCTCTCTGCAGAGGAATTCCCTTGGGTAGGGGAATAGGAGAGGAGGGACCCTTACTCCTGGCTCTTTCCCTGACCTGCCAATAAAACTTAATGGCCCAGGGGAAGAAGGATGTTTGGTTTGTTAATTCATCGCATGGAGAGATGGGTCAGGCCTTGGCCCTGTTGAGGTTTTATTTTAACCCAAGTCCACCCTGTTCCAGGAAAGGGAAGGGAGTGCACTCACATACTTCAACTGTAATGGTAATTCCCCTTTGCAGTAGTCTTCATTTATCTAACCTGTTTCTTACAACAACCTGGTGACATAATCCTTGCTTCTATTTTATAGAGAGGTAAACTAAGGCTGGGAGAGGTGAAATGGTTTATTGTACATGTAACTGCTCTAACACATGGTAAGGGCGGGATTTGAAATTGGTTTTTGCTTCCAGATTTAGCTTTCTTTCCACTGTAGTGCCCTGGATGTGTGTGTGTGTGAAATGTTTCTTGAACACCTACTATGTGCCATTGAATCAAAACAACCCTAAAAGGTAGTTTGGACGAGCTGTGTCTTATAGATCAGGAAACAGGCTCAGAGAGGCTGAGTAACTTGCCCAAGGCCACACAGCAACTACCGGCAGAGCCAGGATTAGAATCTGAGTTTCCTGATTCTTAGCCTACGGTGCCACTCCTGTCCAGGTGGTCTTGAGTGGGCACTGCTTGTGCCAGTCTTGCTCCATATGAAGGCTCCGAACTGGAGTCCCCTGAGGAGGTTCCTCCTGATGCACTTCTCCACCTAATCGAAACCAGGGCTCTGGGGCTTTGAGGTTTGGAGCAAGGCTGGAGAAGAGTGTACATGTCCCTCTGTGTGTCTGTGTGAGTGTGTGCATGCACTAACACATTCGTTCCGGGGCAGCCCTGCGTAAGCCCCTTACGCCCACCAGCCCATACCTGGGCCGAGAGCCTGGAATGGGACCCAGCTGTGACCCAGACCTCCCACACACCCCCAAACTGGCTTGCCTGGGGCCTACTCTGGGCCGGCAGAGGAACAAAGCCCCAGCTTCCTGGTACAACTCTGCCCTTGGGGGCATATGGTCCTGCCCCAGTGGCTTACAGCTCAGCTGCCAAGAACTGAGGCCAATTCAAGGTAAACAAGAGGCCCACAAAGAAGTTAGACTCACAAAGGAGTAGGACTCATTTACCTTGACATTATTCCCTCCTCTGAGGGGGCCCATGGCTTTGTCTCTGAGAGCAGGCAGACCCTGTGTGTATGGGGGGCAAGCGAGGAACGCTGGTTAGTCCCATTCCTCACCCTGACAATGTCTTCTAAAGGGAAGCAGATTTGGGGCCGGCCCGTGGCTCACTCGGGAGAGTGCGGTACTGATAAAGGGAAGCAGATTGAACCCTCTGTCATGCCCCATGCTAATCCTGAGGGAGGCGCTGTTTCCTCCATCTTCCTGTGGGTCTCGGAGGTTAGCTTGCTGGCTGGTCATGGACATGTGACCGCAGAGCCCAGCCCTTACCTTTTCCTGCTGTAGCTCTGGGCCGGGAGCCCCTTCTGCCACCTCCGCAGCTGTTCTGCTCTGGCCTCCAGCACCCACAAGCCCCCTTCCCCCACTTCACTTTTCAGGAAGCCTTGGAGCTTGAGGAAGAGGCCTGGCTGCACCTGTAGGCTGGGACTACCCAGAGATCCTTGTTCCTTCCCGTGAAAGCCTTCCTTGTTGTCACAACTGAAACCCTCCCTCTGCCCCAGGGTCCCCTGGAATGTGGCAGTAGGGCAGACCTGGGTCTACATGGGTGGGGCAGGTGACTGGGTCTCAGGCCTGGGTGTCAGGAATGAGGCTTCCTTTGTGCGCGTGGGGTGGGGTTGGGGGTGAGCTGTGGTGGAGACACTCTTCTGAGAAGACCTGGCGTAGGACAGGGAGGGGGCTGGGGGCTGGGGCGGGACTTCCCATCACTGCTGGTCACCCTGGTCACTTCAGTTTGTGAAGCATTTCCTACCAACCACCTTGCTCTGTCTCTGTGAGGCAGGCTTGGCTGCAGTTATATCATCTTCTGGATTGATAGACTGAGGCTCAGAGAGAGGAGATACCGTGACCAAAAGCCGCACACCTAGTAAATGGGAAAGGAGGTCTCAGGTCGTGCACTCTGTCCCGGGCAACTTGCCGGGGAAGGGCCCATGTGCCATCAAACACTCACTATGGCTCTGTGGCTGGGGTGGGCATGAATGACCCAATTTAAAACCAGGAACCAGGCTTAGAGAGGTTGAGTCACCCAGAGGTGGAATCCAGCCCAGGCTCTTTCTAGTAGGCTGCATCCCGCCATCCCAAGGAGGGAAGACCTGGCTCCAGGGACGGCCTGTCTGGCCACAGTGGGAAAAGACCAGAAACTGGTGCAGCATCCTGGGAGGGCTGTCTGGGGCAGGGCCCAGGGCTGCAGCCTGGGCTGGGGCAGCAGACCTCGGTCCTCGGAAGCCATCCCTCCTGGCGCTAATGAGGAGGTCCCAGGACCCCGCCCAGACCTTGAGCTCACAGTAGCTATTTGGTCTGAAACCAGGGATTTGCCACTGGGGTAGTGAGGGGCAGCTTCCACCCCTGGCCTGGGCTTGAGAGCATGGGGAAGGCCCGCTTGAGGGGCTGCTGGAGGAGAGCCAAGGTGCAGAAGGGGAGCTGGCAGAGGTCCAGCCCTCCCTCACCCCAGGGATGCCGATGAATAATTGTTCCTGTGTTAGTTGCTGGGGCCGCAATGTCTGTAGAGGCTTTAATGAGCTCTGGCTGATCTGAGTTTGATTATTTTTCTTTCGGAGGAAAAGACAATATCTTCCCACCCATGAGACAATACTACACTGTCTGGGTCTAGCACTTGGAGGCCTGGCTCACTGCAAAGCTGGGTTAGGAGGAGCCTACCCACACCCCCTCAGGCACACATTCCCTTCCTCTCATCCCAGCGCAGATTGCAGGCATTTGGGATGTGTGGTAGGACCCTCTTTTCCTGTCCCCTGAGTCCTGGCAATGTGCCTTACCAGCTGTGCCACCTGGAACATGTTGCTTTACCTCTCGGAGTCCCAATTTCATTCCTTCTGAAACTTGGGTGGGATTCATCCTCTTGTGTCGTGAGGATTAGAGGAGGTGATGGATGCAAAAGTGCTTTGTAAATCATGAAGTGTGCGGAGGAAGTAAAGGATTATGCTAGTCCAGTAAAAGTAAGAACAGCCTGCGTTGCCCAGTAGGAGCTGGCTGCAGAAGAGTGATGCAGTGGAAGAGTGATGCTGCTAAGCGCAAGAACATGCTAAGGCTCACAGGGCATATTCTGATGCCCAAGGACAAAGTCTTCCCGCTGAAGGTACCCAGGAGTCCCAGGTGCTGGACATGCAGCTCACCAGCTGATCCTTCCGAAGGTGGGGAGCCAGGGGAGGCAGACTGGGGGTTTTGGGCCTCAAGGCTTCCCTGGAAGCGAGAACTGAGAGTGTCCCTTGCCACAAGGAAGTTGAGACTTAACAAGTAACGTGTCCAAGGTTTCACAAGTGTAATTGATAGGGCCAAGATTTGAACCTGGGCCCGAGGAATTCCAGAGCCCTGTCTACTTTCCCATGCTGCAGCTCTGAGCTGGGAATCCTCCTCCTGATTCCCCCGCTCAGTCTTGCTCACCTCTCCACCCCTGGGCTCTCTGCAAGCACCTGAGGCAGGTCCAGAGGTGTCAGATATCCCTGGAGCATGGGCCCATGAGCTGGTTGGCAGAGGAAAGTGCCCTCTTGAGTGTCCGACTCCCCTTCCTGGCCTCAGACCCTTCTGTGTGAAGTGATATCTTGGTATCCAAGATCTCTGGTGTTTTCCTGCCCGCTGGCCAGGCCTGCCTGCCTCCTCCCTCCCCACATGTAGCACATTTTCTGGGCCGGCCCCTCCCCAGCCCCACAGTACTTGACAGGACAAACCAAACGGGGTTAATCCCCTGCTCAGCAGCGACGTGCCTCTCCCTGGAGAAGGCAGGGGCTTCCTGGAACTTGCCCCTGCCTTATCTGCAGAGGTTTGCCCCAACGCGTCCCAGGAGCAAGCGAAGGTTCAGTGACATGCAGTTGGCAGGTGGCGGTACTATCAATCAGCCCCTTGTCAGCCCCGAGCCTGCTGGGCTTTTTTTGTGAAAGTGCCAGGGCCATGGGGCTGGGGGTTGGGGACAGCAGGAGAAGAAGGAGGGAGGCTCTAAGTGGGGAAGGGAGTCCATTTATAGCACCAGGGAAGGGACAGACGCGGACCTCTCTGGTCACTTCAGCTGGAACTTGACTCAAGACCCCCTTTCCTGTCCTCAGCCTGCCCCCATGAGCCCTGCATTCGATCCCCAGAAGTCTCTACTCTCCCCCAGCCCCGCAGGCTCATGCACAGGCTCTTTGAGAGGGAGAACACAGAGCAGTAGTGGGAAGTGGACTCCCAGACAGAGCAGAGAGCTGTCAGCCTCGGAGCAGCGAGGCTCCCGGGCCGGGGGCAGCGGAAAAGTCCAGCCGAGGGCACAGTTGGCCTGAGCTGCTCTAACAGTCCAGGCAGGGGCCTTGGTAACTGTGCTGTGATGTGGCTTTGCTCCCTACTGCTCTCTCTTTTCTCTTGGAGTGGAGAGATGAACCTGTAATCCAAGTGTTAAAACCATGGCCCGGGGCAAATCGCCATTAATTCTGAATCATCTCTTTTGTTGCATCAAAAAAAAAAAAAAAAAAAGAAAGAAAGAAAAACTCCACATGAACCACCCTGAGGTGTGCAGGCAGCTGTGTTTGTCAGGAAGGCAGAAGGAGTTGGCTTCACTTTGGGGGAGGAGACAGGTCCCACAACACCCTCGGAGGGGTATATAAGGAGCTCCAGGCTGGGGGGTGACAGGCACTGCACTCTGGTTTCAGCCCCGATTGGCACCTCCTGCCAGCATCTTTCTGCTCACTGAGAACTCACTGGCACCAGCTGCCTGGCCATGACCACCACATTTCTGCAAACTTCTTCCTCCACCTTTGGGGGTGGCTCTACCCGAGGGAGCTCCCTCCGGGCTGGGGGAGGCGGCTTGGGTGGGGGGAGTCTCTACGGGGGAGGTGGGAGCCGCAGTATCTTGGCTTCTTCTGCTAGGTTTGTCTCTTCAGGGTCAGGAGGGGGCTATGGAGGTGGCATGAGCTGCGGCTTTGGTGGAGGGGCTGGTAGTGGTTTTGGTGGAGGCTTTGGAAGTGGCATTGGTAGGGGTTTTGGTGGTAGCTTTGGTGGGGGTATTGGTGGTAGCTTTGGTGGGGGTTTGGGTTGTGGTTTTGGTGACTTTGGTGGTGGCGATGGCGGTCTCCTAACTGGCAATGAGAAGATCACCATGCAGAACCTCAATGACCGCCTGGCCTCCTACCTGGACAAGGTGCGTGCCCTGGAGGAGGCCAACACTGACCTGGAGGTGAAGATCCGAGACTGGTACCAGAAGCAGAGCCCAGCCAGCCCAGAACGTGACTACAGCCACTACTTCAAGACCATGGAAGAGATCCAGGATAAGGTGAGCCCTTGGATGTCAAAAGAAGAACAGCAGGTGGCTGGTGCCTTGCATGTGCCTCTAACATCGGTGTTAGCACTGAGGAAATCCTTTCCTGTCCAGGCAGTGACTATCTGGTGTGTAACCTTGGCAAACTTAGAATGCATCTGCTTTTGAGGTGCAGATGGCACGCATCGGCTCAACTTGGCAGTGTCGGAGGAGGGAGGAGTCTTAGGAATCTGGTTAGGACCAATGGGGGCACAGGTAGGGGCAATTATAGACAGCAACCCACGCTCCCCACCCTACGCACCCTGAAGGATTCTGCATGAAACGTTCCTTTGGCAAGAACGAGACCTAAATGCCTGGACCTTGTGTCTTATGTTTAAGGATGCCTTTAGTGCCGAAAGCACTGTCGGGACTTAGGAGACCTGGGAACTCATTACAGGCTCTGTGACCTACTCACTCACGCTTTCACTCCTGGGGACTGGGTTCCTCATCTATAAAATGCTTTCTTTAGCTGCCCTGCAAGTTCCCAGTGGCTGGAATGTTCTGTAGGTTCACAGCTGTGTCCAAGGTGTGCAGGAGGCAGTGACCATGAGCTGTCCACAGGGAAGGGGTTGGTGGAGCATCCTTGAGAGGACTATTGTCAGAGCTGACCCAGCCCACTCCACTCCACTCCTGGCCAGCCAATTCCCACAGGGGATTTCAGGCAATATTGCCTCCTTGGTCTTTCATGCCCTGGAAACAGGGAGGGCAACCCCTCAGATGTCCCAGGGAGGCTGGCACAGGAGCAGACCAAGTAATGGGCATGCTAGGTGAGGCTGGATTCTGACTACCCAGGGGACACGCAGGCTTCTGTTGGTGGTGTCAGAGGGGAGATTGTCTGTGAGGGTCCGACTGTGGTGCAGGTGGGAGAGCGGCAGGGGAGAAGAGGAGTCCTCTAGGCGCCAACTCCCTGTCTTCTGCAGATCCTAGCTGCTGCCATCGACAACTCCCGGGTCGTCCTGGAGATCGACAATGCCAGGCTGGCCGCGGATGACTTCAGGCTCAAGTGCGCTCCCATCTCCCTCTCCCTGCTTCGTTGCCCCCTTTACTCGGCCTTCCTCTCCCTCTGACTCAGGCAGCCCAGACCCCTTAGCCTTCCTTACTGTGGCTCCCTTTGTCTTCCAGGTATGAGAATGAACTGACCCTGCGCCAGAGTGTGGAGGCCGACATCAACGGGCTGCGCAGGGTGCTGGACGAGCTGACCCTGGCCCGGACAGACCTGGAGATGCAGATCGAGAGCCTGAAGGAGGAGCTGGCCTACATGAGGAAGAACCACGAGGAGGTGAGAGCTGGGCAGGGGCTGGGGTAGTGGGAGGCAGAGTGGGGCTGCGGGTGCTTCCTCATAGTCGGCCGAGGGTTCAGTGGTTCAGAAATGCACCCCCTCCCCCAAACAGGGTGCTCATAAAGAGGAAAGGGCACGGTCCTCTGGCAACCCAGACTCACAGCCAGGCCAGGTCGCCGGTGTGACCTGCTGTCTTCCTGATGTGCTTTGTGAACTCTCACAAGGGCTCTACTGTCTTGGTGTCCTCCCTTAGTCCATGGATCAAACCTCTTCATGTGCAATGGGGAGCAGAGGTCGGATGGTGGTGTGCAAAGGTCACATCGTGAGTTAGGGACTAAGCCAGGATTAGCACGCGGGACCCCAGGTCCTCAGTTCTCTCTTCTGTTCTGTCTCTGAATGGGGTCCCCACACTCCGCAGGAGATGAAGGAGTTTGGCAGCCAGCTGGCTGGCCAGGTCAACGTGGAGATGGACGCAGCACCGGGTGTGGACCTGACCCGTGTGCTGGCAGAGATGAGGGACCAGTACGAGGCCATGGCAGAGAAGAACCGCCGGGATGCAGAGGAATGGTTCTTCAGCAAGGTGGGCCTGACCTCCCTGCCTCGCCCCAGCTCCCGGCATCTCTGAGGAGCCCATGGGGCTCACTTCTCTTCTCTGCCACTTACAGACTGAGGAGCTAAACAAGGAGGTGGCATCCAACACAGAAATGATCCAGACCAGCAAGACAGAGATCACAGAGCTGAGACGCACGCTGCAGGGGCTGGAGATCGAGCTGCAGTCCCAGCTCAGCATGGTATGGCCCCCGCATCCCACCCCAGCCTCTGGATGACACAGGCTCCCACCCTGCAGGGCTAGTTAAGCCTTGGAGTTCTCAAGCCCCTGGACGTAGTTCCCTGCTCTAGTCTCTCAATCCCCTACTCCCATGCCCTCGGTGGCTTCCTTGCCAACCTGATGTGTTTATGGATCCGTTGCCTACCAGAAAGCTGGGCTGGAGAACTCACTGGCAGAGACAGAGTGCCGCTACGCCACACAGCTGCAGC